ACATTCTATTTTAGTAGGAAATGCATTAAACATATGATAAAATTTATCTAATTCCAATTTATCTAGAGAAATGCAATAACCTTTTTTGTACTTTAAAAAATTTTTTTCGCAGCAAATTATTGATAGCATGTCACTAATACATATTAATATATAATTAACATTCTACATTTTTGTAAAATAAAAAATATAATAAGAACAATTTTTTTTCTGTTCGTCCTTTCAAATAAGCTGTAACATACGCAGCGAAAATTAATTTTAGCCAACATGTTATACTATTAAAGCTATTAATCCGATTTACACAACCCGCTGTGCAAATGCGAAAAATCATAGAGAGAGAGAGACGTTGATTCCGATTTATGAATGGTGATGCCTTAATTTTCCGAAATCGGGTAAAACTACCCACGTTAACTTCCCCCGAGTACCAAACTTTCGACATATGTTCGGGCAATAATGGACGGTGTTATTGTTCTGAGACGAAGGGAAGAGGTTCAGGGACCTGCGATATACCTTGCACTTGCTAACCGAGGAAGGCAGTTCTCGTGTAGGAAAATGTTTGACAAATAGCTTGTTCAAGTCACAGTACCGTGATGATGGTAACACCCTCGACGAAATCGCACATAAAGATCCCCAATAATGTCGAGCGTAGTCATGAATGCAGCCCTCTGCGAGCTGTTAGGCAAACCAAGAGCCTTGGGGTTAGCCGAACATCCCTTCGACACTTATCGATACACAAAGGCGGATTGACTTTTCTTTTGTCGACGTGCGAACGAACATGTCCGGATTAACGTAAATTACGTAAAATTAGAGCGAGAATCAAAATAATATATTCCTATTTCTGTGTATTACCTAAATATGAAACTGATAAATTTTAAGAAAAATATTATTAAGTCTACCTCTTATTAGAACCTTCTCGTTTTAGTACTTTGAATTTTCTAAGGTCTTTTTCTTAAGCTTTTCATGAAAAATATTATAAAATCTCATTAAGTTAATCTCGATTGTTATGATATGTTTTATTCGTATTTGTTTGCTTTAAAAGTGTAATCTAGAGAAAGTATAGTAGATTTCAATGTGAGTATACAATTTAGTGCAAACGCACCATTTTAACATTTTTATAAGTTTTTCGAGACTTGCTTTGTTCAGCCAGACACACGTGATTCCATTATCATGGTGAGATTAAGAGTGGTCGACCGCCCTTGTGTCAAACTCTTCTCTTCTTTGACTTCTTCTCTTAAGCCCCTCTCGCGTACCGATGCACCACGGATTGCATACGAGATGATATATGCAACACGAGCATAATAAGGGGCCTATTTGTTTTACAAATTCGCCCGGCACTCGAGACAGGAGCGTGACGTTCAGCAAGCTTTTTTTCGCGTCGTCACTCATTCAATTACGCAGGAATTGTTAATTTGCCGTTGTTCCATATGAGTATTCGTACTTCAACCGTGCGAGAGAATCACTCAAGTATCGCACTTTACGTTCGGCCAAGGAAGAAGCTACAAATGCACTCCTCCATCCTGAATCGCGAATATGCAGCGACGACGTGTTGTGACGACTCGATAAGAATTTATTTGAACGCGCAAGGAAAGCATTGATGAAACAATAAAATGTGTTCCTTTTCAAATATTTACTCAAATGAGTTCTGCTAACGCGCACGCCAATTTCTTTTATCACATTTTTCCTTTTAAGACTTTTTAAATTGGTATTACAAATCTAAATATGTCATTTTTTTTCTAATTAAAAAAAAATTGGGTATACCGAATTATGTTTCATATTCTAATTTTTCATTTTTAATTTTTTTAATTGCTTGCTTTCAATTGCTTTTTTTGTATTGCTTAAATTATTTTCTGTCTACTCTCTATTTTCTTTCATTTATTTTGATGTATTTTTTTTCATTCATTATTTATTAATTGATTTCTATCTTACACACACACACACACACACACACACACACACACACACACACACACACACACACACACACACACACACACACACACACTATATAGTA